TGACCACAGTTTGGATTCTTCATAAGACAGTATAGAAGGCAGACTTACACATTATAGGAAAAGTCGTCTAATTCAAGGGCACTTCTATGCTGAATTGAGGGAAGCAATGTAAACAATGGTTTGTGTCTGTGTGTGTGTGTGTGTGTGTGAGTGCGTGCATGCGTGCGTGCGTGCGTGCGTGCGTGCGTGCCCTGCAGGAAGAAGGCAGCTTGTCCAGGGGAAGGAGGAGAGCTGAGCGGATGGCCGGCCTGTTGCTCACCGTTTCTCTTGTAGTCAGGAACTCATCAGTCTGTCATCGTCTCGCTGAGTTGCCAGGGACACAGACACAGACAAACACACTCACACACACACACTCTCACACACAGCTTCAGGTGGCAGGGGATGGTGTACGTGACATAAGGCTTGTGGAGAACTTTTGCTCCTTGGCCTCCTGTACCGAAGGCAGCTGTGAACACTGCGGAACGGAGACGTGGGAAACAAAGAGAACTGGAAGGAGGATCCAAGGCTGCTGGGGGGTTCAGGGGTCCGCTCCTGTAGGCTCATGGTCTTACCTTGAATTACAGTCTGTGCTTGGTTATCATTTCCTTAATTTAAAGGCTTATGGCATACCCTGCTGGCATGCTTTTATCTGTGTCTAAATAAGGCTACTTGGATGATGCATTTACAGTGGGATCGCTAGACCAATAACATAAAAAACAATGTCATTGGCCAGGGCTATAACAGCCATTTGGTGCAACATTGTAAGTACTGTCAAAAAGTATAAGAAAAAAAGAGAAATCTCATATTTCAATTTCATTTTGCCCATTTGGTTGTAATTATGCTTTAAGCAGAAGCAATTTTCAAAAACAGTTCTGATGAATCCCTTTCCCCTTTTCCACTGCGACAGTTCCTGAGCTGAAGAGCCTGATTATCAGTTCTTTGTATTTCCACTGAAAAGACACCTGCTCTCAGCCCCAAACATTGGTTCACCTCGAGAACCAACTATTTGCTTTGTTGGCACCCAGAGCCCAGAGCTGGAGACGGGGGAAACCTACGTCAGAGGATGGGGCGGGTTTTACGTATGTGAGCATTTCATTGTGAGTATGACTGGCAGTAAAAATGTGTTCAAGAAAGCACCAAGACCAAAAAGGGGCTAAAATGAAATTAAACATTTTAGAAACATTGTGGAACGTTAACCAGGAAAAAGGCACACGTTGTTCATAGTTCACCATACTTTAAATACCTGTATCATTGTGGCATTAGCTGTTTTGAACAGCGGCAGGGCACGTATGTTTTTTTTTGTTTTTACACAGGGTATCAGATTTAATCACTACATACACAAATTGTCATATCATAAGACAGATCGGGCGAAATAACACAATTTAATGATATGATGGTAGAAAACGTCCAATGCGACAATGATAGCAACAAATACCTTCCTATTCAATTTGTTATGGTGAATAATTAATACGTCATGCGTATGCTCAGTTAACTTTAATATAAAGTGCGATGGCATTCTACCATTAAAAATGCCGGAAGAATTTAAATATTTATTACATTTTTATTATGCTTAGTAAGAATGGTTTGAGTGGCTCGGCTAACCTCATCCATTTAATACCAGAACATTTCAATTCGTACGATCCTTTGTTTATGGCATTACGTTTGGCACACATTTTAAATGAAAAACAAAAAAAATACACACTTATCGAAAATTCAACAAAGGGGGGCAACGTGAGCACAACTCCAATATATTCCGCCATTACTGTCACTGTGAGGGGGGATTTCAAGACGTGGAGCCCATCAGGGGTTCAGTTGGTAAAAAAGCAAACTGGTTCTTGGGGTGGTTCACAAGTTGAACAGACTCTGTACTAAAACTAACCCCAGCGCATTGTCATCAACATGGTATTGTACAACTGTCATACCATGTGGACAATCCTTCCTAAAGGGTAATCATGAGTTTCTCTCAGTTGTAAGCAATAAAGTTGTATTAAGATTGAAGCAGAGGTTCAAATCCTGCCTTACTCCCACACCTCCATGCAGCTGTTCATTTGCTGTGTGTATTTTATTGTTGGATTGAAGGTTTCTGAAAGGTGCAAGAAGTGTCCCAGCCAAAGGAGACCTGCTCCACCGCTGCCCAGATGTGTGATGTAGGGAAGTCAGGAACAGTTCAATATTGTGAACTCATGGTTCCCATTTGTATTCACTCAATAAACAGCAGAGGTGGTTCAAGTACTCAGAATTTGTACTTAAAGGTGGGGTAGGTAATTTTGGAGAAACCGGCTCGAGTGCGCTAGAATTTGAAAATACACAGCCGGAAAAAATCTGTCACTTCCTGACAGAACCCCTCCTCCAACACACACGAACGCGCACATGACTAATGAGGGCACGAGATAAGTTTGTGCACAGATGGAAGGCTGACAGGCAGGTAGGC